AGACTCCATCTAAAAAAAAAAAAAAAAAAAAAAAATTGTGCTGATTTACAAATAATATCTATTTATGGAAAATTTGGAAAATAGGTAAAGTATAAAAAGAAATAAATATGACCTATAATCTCACCATTCAAAAATCACCACTAAGGCCAGGAGTGGTGGCTCATGCCTATAATCCCAACATTTTGTGAGTCTGAGGTGGGTGGATTACTTGAGGTCTGGAGTTTGAAACGAGCCTGGCCAACATGGTGAAACACCATCTCTACTAAAAAATACAAAAGTTAGCCAGGCGTAGTGGCAGGCACCTATAATTCCCAGCTACTCAGGTGGCTGAGGCAGGAGAATTGCTTGAACCCAGGAGATTTGGCAGTGAGCCAAGATCGTACCACTGCATTTCAGTCTGGGCTGGAGTGAGACTCCATCTAAAAAATAATGATTACTGTTACTACTTTGGTGCATTTTGTCCAAAATTGTGGGTGACAAGGAAGTGACCCAATCAAAGAAAACATTTACATTTACATTTAACATGCCATTAACTATTTAATGCATAAAAAGAACATTTATAACACCTGTAAGGCATAAAGAGTAATAAAAACAAATGCCTACCTACATTTGGCTTAGCCAAAAGTACTCTGCCAATAAATTAATCAATTAATTAATTAAAATAAATGGAACATGACCCATAATTGTGAAGCTCACTATATGTTCCTCTTGGTTCCATTTTCTACCCCTCCGCAAGGTAACTACTATTGTGAATTTTGTGTTTAGCATTGTCTTACTCGTCTTTAGCATTTACAAATAATTTTGCACAATTTTTAACTGTGTGTGACATAATATATGTGTGCTTTGGTGATTTGTTCCCCCCACCATGATTCATTTATTCTTATACTTGAAGTGCTAATGCATTTTTGCTGTCATCTAGCATTTAAATGCCTGATTATATCAATAATTCATCACTTCCCCTGTTTTTTGTGTGGTTCCTGCTTTTATCAATATAGTGCTGCTCTGAAAGCATTGTTTTGCAGGCCTCCTGGTATAGGCGCAGGAGTTTCTAGGTAACACATTTAGGGGTGGAATTGTAAGTCACAAAATACTGAATCTCCCAACTTTATTCAGTAGTGCAAAGTGGTTGTACCGGTTTCTACACCCACCAACAGTGTACAAGAATTTCAGATATTGGACACCATCACAGGCACTTGATCTTATACTAGATTTACTTTTTCTTACTGCTGAATAGCATTATAGAATCTCTGGCAAGCAGAGTAATCTCTGTACTGGATCATGTGCATTTAAGTAGCTCATTGCCACACTGAATTCTTCATCTTTGAAATAAAGGTGGTAGGCTGGGCACGGTGGTTTATACCTGTAATCCCAGCACTTTGGGAGGCCAAGGCGGGCAGAGCACAAGGTCAGGAGATCAAGATCATCCTAGCCAACATGGTGAAACCCCATCTCTACTAAAAATACAAAAATTAGCCAGGCGTGGTGGTATGTGCCTTATGTAATCCCAGCTACTCGAGAGGCTGAGGGATAAGAATTGTTTGAACCCAGGTGGCAGAGGTTGCAGTGAGCCGAGATCGCGCCACTGCACTCCAGCCTGGTGGCACAGCAAGACTCTGTGTCAAAAATGAATGAATGAATGAATGAATGAATAAATAAATAAATAAATAAAATAAAGATGGCAAAGCCTACTTTGTAGAGATGTTATGAGATTAAATGGCATAACTGCAAAGTGCTTCAGGGAATAGTGCCAGGATGCATTCAGTGATGATTCTTAGCTCCTTTTCCTCATCTATTAGTGATGCTACACATTGACTCTTAACTTGAAAGGTGATTAATATCTGTTGCCATGAAAAAGATGGCATATACAATATGATCAGTATAGACATAGCTTTGCTTTTAATCCCCATTGTCTTTTGATAAACTGTTCAAATGGGTTCCAAACCAGGTTTGTCATTTAAAAATTCAAAAAAGCTTTAAAATTTTTATTAGCAGAACCAATTCTAAATAGGACAAACATCAGTAATTATAAACAAGGTCTGTACTATCATCTCACTTTCTGTATAAAAAAGTGTAAGCATAGAAGTCGCATAAACCAACGCAGACTTGAAGTAAAGTTTGAACGTTTTAACACTGTTTACTACTAATTCAGAAATTTTGACCGGGCCATGTGGCTCACATCTGCAATCCCAGCATTTTGGGAGGCTGAGGCGGGAGGCATTGCTTGAGCCCAGAAGTTCAGGACCGGCTTGGGCAGAATAGTGAAGCCACATCGCTACAAAAAACATACAGATTAGCTAGGCGTAGTGGCATGGGCCTGTAGTCCCAGCTACATGGGCAGCTGAGCTGGGAGAATTACCTGAGCAGGAGGTTGAGGCTATAATAAGCCAGGGTCATGCTACTGCACTCTAGGCTAGGCAACAAAATGAGACCCTGTCTCAAAAAGTAAATACAATTTTAAGACATTATCCACCAAGAATATGCTTATTTATGAAATAGACTAAAGATTAAATTTGGCCGGGCGCGGTGGCTCAAGCCTGTAATCCCAGCACTTTGGGAGGCCGAGGCGGGTGGATCACGAGGTCAAGAGATCGAGACCATCCTGGTCAACATGGTGAAACCCCGTCTCTACTAAAAATACAAAAAATCAGCTGGGCATGGTGGCATGTGCCTGTAATCCCAGCTACTCAGGAGGCTGAGGCAGGAGAATTGCCTGAACCCAGGAGGCGGAGGTTGCGGTGAGCCGAGATCGCGCCATTGCACTCCAGCCTGGGTAACAAGAGCGAAACTCCGTCTCAAAAAAAAAAAAAAAAAAAAAGATTAAATTTGATCTGGCTTGTTCTTTGCTTCACTTTTTCCCCAACCTTTCCCAAAGTATAACTGACAGCCTAACCCAGTAAGGTTTGCAACTAAAGATAGAATGTTTCAAACAGTAACTTACTTTGAGTAGAAATCAGAGTGTAAAACACATTTCTCATGTGCAACATTGTTTTGCTAATCCAAATAAAGTAGCTTTTAGATTAGTTGGGGGGAGGAGTCATTAAAAAATTCTTTTGAAATTGTTATCTTGGTTACTGTGTACTTAAAGAAAAGCTTCCAACTTTGGTCTGATTCAATTTATTCCTTTTTCCTCCCTCCCACAGGAGTAGACAGTCTCTTAAAGTTCGAGAACATAAAGTTTTGGGACCATATGTAGATGGTTTATCTCAACTAGCTGTCACTAGTTTTGAGGTAAGTCATTTTTTTACAAATGTGAATCAAAGCTGACTATAAATCAAAGTGTGTAAGTGATATTGGATATATTTTATGTGGATGCCTTACAGCACAGTGATACCACTCAGGGCCTCAGAAACCCAATATCAGCACACTGCAAACAGAGAGGAAAAGGGCATTTAATCACACTCCTTCAAGCTGCTTTGTCGTGAAGGCTTTACAGTATGGCCGAAAGGCCCAGTGTTTTGAGGTTGCTGTGAATTTTCACTAATGCTACTCTGCTACAACTGTTCTCCACTGATGCCAATGACATCGTTCTAGACACGTGCTAGTCTAAACAGTCTTTGGCAATTAGTGCAGCGCTTTCTTTTTGGCAGGCTCACCTGCCTTGGTTGCTGTCCCTTCTGGCTCTTCTGTTTTTCTGAATCACTCCTCTTGCCATTGACCAGCCTATTTTCCTTTATATTTACTCTTTGACGTGTATGTCTTGTTAAGATCTGACTCAAGATTCTGCTTCCATTTCTACAGTCATTGCTTTGGAAATCTCATAACACAAACTACTGTCTTTGTTGCTAAAGAATGTGAATGAATGAGTGGATGCATGGAGGAACAAGCAAAGCCCTGCACTTACTTTGTGCTGTCTGTGGGATGTGGCTGACCCATTATCACCCCAGACTTAGTGTGGCTAGAACTAATCTATGCAGTGACTCTCCAGCCATTCAAATCAAGATACATATAGAATTGCTCTAATCAGAAATAGAGCACAGTGATCATTTTAAAAACATTTAGATTCTGAAATGATGGATACCTTTTTCGTTTAAGGTGCTAACTCAGCCCCTTCACCGAGGTCTCTTGTTCTTCACTCAGTGTGGTCAGTGTCGATGTTATCCTGTCACTTACTAGTAGGAGCCAGGGTGCTCTTCATTTGTGTCCCAGTTCTACCTCTTACTGGATGTGGGGAAAGTGGCTTGACCTCCACAAATTTCAGCATCCTTGTGTGTAAAATCAAGAAAATAAAGTTCACTCAGCAAATGTTTCCTAAGACCCCATAGGCTCCAGGTGTTCTAGGAGCAAGTGTACAAAGTTGAATAAGAAGATACGCTGCCATGGGGGAGCCACAGTGTTGGAGGAGGCAGGCAGACAGCAGGCATCAGTGAGTTGGTAAGCACAGGAGAGTTAGTTAAATAAAGTCACTGCTGTTACTGATTATCAGAGTGCTCGATAAATATTAGCTACCCCAGGAACCCGAAAAGGACAGGGACTCAGCTGAGAAAGAAGATAATTGGGAATTGGAAAAAAGAATGAGGGAAACATTTCATACATTAGAAAGCCCTGAGTGAGGTGGACACTCAAACCATGCTTAATGGAGGAGCGGCAGGGAGGTTTTTATGGAAGGGAAGTGACAAAGGCATCAGAGGAATCATAATTAATACATACACCTGGTCTGCAGGACTGCATTCTCGTGTTTTGGCTTATGGTCTTTTCCTTATGCTTTGCCCCTAGGATATTGAGTCATTGATGTCTGAGGGAAATAAATCTCGAACAGTCGCGGCTACCAACATGAATGAAGAAAGCAGCCGCTCCCATGCTGTGTTCAACATCATCATCACGCAGACACTTTATGACCTGCAGTCTGGGGTGAGGGATTGGGCAGAACTTGGGCAGGGGGGTGGGTGGAAGAACTGAAAGTGTCTACATAGGTGAAGTCTTTCATGGTTGGGTTCTATGGCTGAGAATTGTATGTTGGCTCTTCTGCTTACTAGATGAGCTACTTTGCTTAAATCATTTAATTTGGTAGGTCTTCCTTTATATTTGACTTTTTAAAAAATTGGATTTTGGCCTGGTGTGGTGACTCATGACTGTAATTCTGGCACTTTGGGAGGCTGTGGCAGGAGGATTCCTTGAGGCCAGAAGTTCACAACCATCCTGTACAATATAGCTACACCCAGACTCTACAAAAGCAAAAAAAGAAAAATAATTGTATTTTTTGTGCAAAGTCCCTAACAAGTGTGATGATATCACCATACAGCTTTTAATATCTATCCTTTCATGCTGAAATTCCCATGGAAACAAATAACTCAGCTTCATAGTCATTGAGGGATATTAAAGAGGACACCACAACCTTTAGCCTAAAACCTTTTTTCAGAAGAAGAAGGATTTGACCTGAATGTGCAGAAATTCTCATGTCCTAATATTTCCTCATAGGCATGTAAAATCTCTAGCATTCTGACTATATTCTGGAAAGCTGGGTGTACTTGCTACCCAGGTGCAAAACAAAAATGCTACATTTCCACACCAATTTAAATTTTAACTATGAACTTCATTGCTAGTTCAAATAACTCTTCTGACTGTTTAAAAACTTAAGAAATTTGCCATGTGAGAGCGGGGTGGATTGCTCAATTATAGTGCTAATATATATGTAGACATCCATTTGGCTTTTTGCATTGATAAGTTTTTTTCTCTCTCTTGTTTTCTATAACTAGAACTCTGGGGAGAAAGTCAGTAAGGTCAGCTTGGTAGACCTGGCGGGTAGCGAGAGAGTATCTAAAACAGGAGCTGCAGGAGAGCGACTGAAAGAAGGCAGCAACATTAACAAGTAAGGTGGCTGGTGCCAGAACAGCCTGGGTGATTTCCTTCTGGGGGGGATTTGTTGCATTATGAGGGTCAGATGGTTCTTATGCACAGGTTGTTCAAAGTCCGTACAGCTTTAGGAAACAGGGTTGAAGACAAAAATAACCTGTGTCTATTAAGATGTATGAGGTTTTTAGCCAGGCACGGTGGCTCATGTCTGTAATCCCAGCACTTTGGGAAGCCAAGGCAGGCGGATCACCTGAGGTCAGGAGTTTGAGACCAGCCTGGCCAACATGGCAAAACGCCAT